AAATGGTCTATCTTTGGCTATGTGTATTTTCACCAAAAAAAAAAGGTTGAGAAGTTAGAGGGTTGATATGTTGTGGGGTTTTTAACCATTGTCATAAAACAACATGTGTACTACTGTTTCATGAGAAACTATTTGTTCTGTAAGCCTTCACCTGAAGTACAATAAAAAAAAAAAAAAGAACTAATTAAAAGAATGTCAAAAAATGCCTTGATGTAGGTTAATCTCTAAATGGTCTATTAACAAACAACTAATGATCAAGGCAGTGACTTAGAAGATTGGAAAATAGCCATGTTTATGTTTAAGAAAAAATTATTAATAACAGTAATTGAAGCAAGAAATCTATCCTCAAAATGCATTTCGTAACTGTTATAGGTCAAACTACTGTGAATCATCAGATGTTGTGGTCTTCCACAAAACTATCCATGAATTTTTCAGGAAACACTGGCAGCTGACATCTTCTAATTTTGGAGGATGGCACAGAAAGTTATTTTAAGTGATTAAAAAACCAAACCAATGGCTGTTGAGTTGATTCTGACGCGTCGCAACCCCTGTATTTCAGGGTAGAACTGTGCTCTATATGGTTTTCAAAGGCTGTGATTTTTTGAAGATGGACCTCCAAAACCCTCTTCCAAAGTACCTCTAGGTAGATTTGTATCACCAACATGTAGGTAATTAGACCTGAACTTTCCAATTAGGGAACCACTAGCCACATGTGGTTATTAATTCAAAACCCAATTATTTTCTGCTTTGAATTTTTTGTTACTATGTGTTTTCATTAATGGAAACATGCTGAATCATTGAGTGTTGCTGAATTTTTGGTAAGTAGTATGGCTTTTCCCCCCTTTCAACAATCCTACCCTCTGATTCCCAAGGGACATACGTTGTTCTACTAATTCTACCCCAGACACCTCCTAGAGTCCAGGGGGACATATACCGTCCCCAAAAAAAATTTTCAAAATGTCTCTTTCATTAACCAAAAATGCATGAACCTCACATAACACCCTGTAGAAACAGTAATTTGCGGCACATGCCTGTTTTTTCAGTTTCAAACAGTCATGCACCATCAGTTGGAAAGCAGCTTCCCAGTGAACCTGAGAGGCAGAAAAAGTAGGTGGGCAACCATGTATCCCAATGGTCATGAAAAGGTAAGTAAGCCTAGTGCAACTGAGGAACTGAATTTTAAATTTTTCTTAATTGTACTTAATTCATTAAATAAAATTTTAAAACAGCTACCTGAGTAAGTAACTGGAAAACTTTAATTATGTCTGGAACAACCTTGGTATATGAATCTATTTTTTAAATTGAAAATGTTAAATGTGCAATAAGTGTAAAATATCACATTTCAAAGATTTAGTGCAAAAAAGGAATAAAAATATGTTCTCAATAAATTATATACTGAATACATATTAAGACAATAATGCTTTGATATACTGGGTAAAATAAAATGTATTATTATTAAAATTTATTCACCTGTTTTCTTTTTACTTTTTTTAATGTGGCTAAAAAAAAATGAATTGCATCATAATTCTATTGCCCAATGCTGCCATATACATATAATCTAAACTTTTTGAAGTCGGGTTTATTGAAGTATAGTTTATATACAGTAATATTCACTCTTTTTACATATACAATTCTACAAATGCATATAATCATATAATCACCACCATCCATAAAAAAAAAAAAAAAAACCAAGTGCCATCGAGTCTATTCCGACTCATAGCGACCCTACAGGACAGGGTAGAACTGCCTCATAGGTTTTCCAAGGAGCAGCTGGTGGATTCGAACAGTCGACCTTTTGGTTAGCAACCGAGCTCTTAACCACTGTACCATCAGGGCAGGATATAAAACTTTCTTATCCTCCCAAAAAGTTCCCTCATGCTCCTTTGTAATCAAGTCACACCTTTTATCTCCAACCCTTGGCGACACCGATCTGTTTTCTATCTATAGTTTTGCCTTTTCCAGAATGTCATATGAATGAAATTAAACAGCATGTAGCCTTTTGAGTATGGTAAAGTCAAATTTTAAATACTATACCACCCCACAAAATTAATATACTATTAATATTAACACTAATAGTAGATTATATTATTATAATTTTCATCTTAATATTTCTTTTACTTGTATTAATAACAGTTACCAGGACCAGTTTTTCCAGTTATTCTACTTTCAAAACTGAGTTTTCTTCTTTTTCTCTACTACAGTAATTTATTCAGACCTCTAGAATAAAATTTAGCAGATTATATTATAGTTATTTACATACACATCCTTCCCCCAACCAGAGTATAAACTAGAAGCCATGACTTCTAGAACCATTCTGTTTTCCATAGCATTAACTGCCTAGTGAAGCCAAGAGTGCATATAACGAAGCTGAGAAGCTGAGAAGATACTTCCCACTGTGGTTTTAAAGAGAAAGGAAAAGAAAAAAATAAAAAATTGAGTGATGAAGAAGGTTACCCTCTGGATTCAATTTCTAATTTTATTAAAGACTTAAAAAGAGCTTAAGGCTACAGAGGATTCAGAAAATATGATGTCAGCCAGCCAGGTACAAATGCTAGTATAGATTTAAATATGCCAATATTTTTACTAAGATTGCAATTGTTTTTGTCAGAGCTTGATAAAAAAAATTGGGTAAGTTTGGAGTAGCCTACCCTAACAATATTTTTAACAAATAATCTTGTTATTTTGGGCATATAATTTTTCAGACATAAAGTTTATCAGAAACATTATAGCAGGAACCATATGTAGGTAAGGACTTAATACATTTTCTGGTTCTATTGGAAAAGTCTGATATTTATTTGTAAACGTTAATCTTCATATAGTTGAATATATGAAAAATAACAAGCTTATATTTGAAAAGACAAATAAAATGTTACAACTAATGTCAATGCTTTCAAAAGTACTTACTGAAGTCTCCAGTAAGAAAAACTCCTTCTGCTCCAGGGGCCCATTCTTTGCAGTATAAACCACCATCAGCACATCTGTGGACGCCAAATGATTCATAGCCTTTGGAAAACTTATCAATACCACCTTCATTTTCTCCAATGTCGTTCAAAGTCTTGTTAAACTGCCTATACCTTAGAAAAAAACGAGAAAGAAAGGAAGTTAGAAAGTTAAACCTGTAGTCTTCAAGTAATTAAGCAGCTGCTTTATTCTTATTGAGAAGAAGAGGGGGGAAAAAAAATGCTTAAACATGTGACTAATTCTGTTTATATAGGTTACCTGGTAGGTATCCTACCTGGTAGGATAAGAAATTCTATCTCAACTAAACTAAATTAACCGAACTAATTTTTTTTTTGTAATTTCAACAATTTTGGTGTAATAGAGGAAATATGGTTGTATTATACCATGATTTGTTTTTAAAAAAATAAGTGGTATAGTCACTTCCATGTCAAGACAATATAATGAAGCAGAATCCCAGCATCTCTCCCTCTAACTCCTAACAAAATAAAAATAAAATAGTTTAAAAAAACAGCAGAAAATAAAATTACCCAGCATCAAGGATTGGCGAATGTTTCCTATAAGGGGCCGATATTTTAGGCTTTCACACTGCACGGTTTTTCTTACTACTCAAATGTACAGCTGCTATAGCAAGAAAGCAGCCAGAGACAATATGTAAATGTATGGGCGTGGCTGTATTCCAACAACACTTTATTCTCAAAAACAGGTGGGTAGTCAGATTTGTCTGTGGCTGTAGTTGCCTAATCCTGCCCTATAGCAACTAAACATAGAAAGGACATAACCTAATGTCAGACTACTAGTGGCCAGGAGAAGAAGCAGAAGATTCCCAAGCAGAATGGAGAATAGCACATGGCTGCTCCTAATCCCCTCAAAAGTCCCCCAGAGTCCATACTAGTATTGTAACAAAATGCCACCTATTTTCATTAACATCCTCATATCTTGAGAGAAGCAAACTAGACAGAAATTGAGACAGCTGGGAAAGTGAACCCACGTGGCAGGTGTTCTCTGTCAGAAGTGAAGGTTCTAGAACTACACAGTGAATTGGGCACTGTCACTAAGCAGCCCTGCACTCCCCATACCTTGCAGAGAAAGCAATGCAATTCCCAGAAAGATAGCATGAATTCTGATAAAGGATATAGAGAAGATATAAACATTTGATAGGGTAATTGATGAAGATCACACCAGCTGAGCTGAACAGAAAACACAACTTTCCACAAATGTTTCACACTATACAGCAACTTAACTAAAACTGAATTCCATAAATCCATAAAATAAAAGCTGAGATCTAAACAGTCAACTATTACTTTTTTTTTTATTGTTGTACTTCAGGTGAAGGCTTACAGAACAAATAATTTCTCATGAAACAGTAGTACACATATTGTTTTATGACATTGGTTAACAACCTCACAACATGTCAACCCTCTAACTTCTCAACCTTTTTTTTTGGTGAAAATACACATAGCCAAAGACACACCATTTCAAAAATTTCTACATGCACAGTTCAGTGACATTGACTACGCTCTTCCAATTGTGCTGCTATTCTCACTTAAGATGAAGGCTTACAGAACAAAATAGTTTCTCATTTAACTGTTACTACAAATGTTGCCCTATGACAATGGTTAACAATCTCACAACACATCAACAATTTCCTTACTCAACCTTGGGTCCCCTATCACCAGCTTCCTTGTCCCCTTCTGCCTTCTGGCCCTTGTCACTGGACTCCTGTATCTCATTAGTCCCATTTGGTTTTACGGGGCTGTCCACTCCCAGGCTGAACAGTGAACCTCAGAGATAACTTCACCACTGCGCTAAAATGGTGTCTGGGGGCCATATCCTCGGGGTTTCTCCAGTCTCCTTTAGGCCAGTAAATCTGGTCTTTTTTTTGTGAGTTAGAATTATGTTCTACATCCTTCTCCAGCTCTGTCCAGAACCCTCTGTTGTGATCCTAGTCAGACCAGTCAGTGGTTGTAGCTGGGCACCATCTAGTTGTACTGGACTCAGTCCAGTGGAGGTCTTGGTAGCTGTGGACCATTAGTCCTTCAGACTAATCTTTTCCTTGTATCCTGTTCTCTTCATTCTCCCTTGCTCCCGAAGGGATGAGACCAGTGGAGTATCTTAGATGGCCGCTCACAGGCTTTTAAGACCCCAGAAACTACTCACTAAGGTAGAATGTAGAACACTGTCTTTATAAACTGTGTTATGCCAGTTGCGCTAGATGTTCCCCGAGACCATGGTCCCCACAGCCCTCCGCCCAGCAATTCAGTCCCTCAGGGAGTTTGGATGTGTCTATGGGGCTTCCATGACCTTTCCTTGTACAAGTTGTGCTAGTTTCCCCTGTATTGTGTGCTGTCTCACCCTTCACCCAAGATACCACTTATCTATTGCCTATCAACTATTACTTTTAAACAAATATGAGAATATAATGAGACAGGGAAACTAGATAAATGGAAACAGAACAACCAGAATGGAGATACTGAGAATGTTCACGCACTGTGAAGAATGTAGCCAATGTCACTGAACAATTTGTGTAGAAATTATTGAATAGGAACCTAAACTTCTATGCAAACTTTCACCAAAAACACAGTAAAATATTGTTTAAAAAATAAAATAAGAGTTGAGAGATTATACGACAAAACAACAGAACGTAAAGTCACATGAAACAGCAGATTTAAGGAAACAAATGGAGAAATGAAACATATCATTAGAAAATAATAATAAAACAAAAAGGAATAAAATGAACCAAAACCACTGCCATCGAGTCAATTCTGACTCATAGTGACCCTACAAGACAGAGTAGAACTGCCCTATATGCTTCCAAGGCTGTAAATCTTTACGGAAGCAGACTGCCACATCTTTCTCCCATGGAGCAGTTGGTGGGTTCGAACCAAGACCTTTCAGTTAGCAGTTGAGCACTTTAATCATTGCACCACCAGGGCTCCTTAATAAAATATACATAAAGCAAAAATAACAAATTGTTAGTTAACTGAATAATTGGAAACTGACATCATTAAATAGGAAATAAAAAAGACAAATTGAATACATTAAAGAGAAGGTAAGAGATATGAAAAATAGACAAAGATGATCTAAATAAGGATAACCAGTGTCACTGAACAGCAACAGGAGATAAAATGGAAATAAAAGATAGATAACTGGAAACTGTTTCTAAAGTAGAAAATTAAATCTGCATATTAAAAAGAGTATGTTTCAGGAAAATTTTGGGACACAAACACTCACGTTCAACATATCCCATTTTAAGCTACAGACATGCACATAATAAAGAAAGAAGTCTGTAGGCATCCAGGTACAAAAATGAAAGAGGTAGGGGTATGTCTTCTAAAGGAACATCACCTCAAAGGCCAAAAGAAACAAAGCCAAACCAACACAGTTCTTAGAAGGAAAAAGTGGTGATCTAAGAACATTATAAAAGGCAAGTCCTACTCAAGCCTAAAGGCATTTTTTAAAATATTGTTAAATTTAAAAATAATACAAAAAATATGACACTAATGAACCATCCTTGAAGAAAACTATTTTCCATTAAAAAACTAGCCAGTTAAGAGGTTAACAAAAACAAACAAACAAACAGGAGTGGACAATTGTAGCTGTGTGGCTGAGCACAGACTTTCTTTATATACAGATCAACTGTTATCAATTGTGGAATTGTGCAAATGTGATAAACAAAAGATTCTTAATGGACAAAGGAAAAATATTATTTAAAAACAGATGATCAAAAGGGAAATGGAATGAAGTACAAGAGTGTTCATACTGTCTTATTTTATAGCAGCGAGTCACTCAACACTGACTAAAATTTAAGGTTGTTGTATTATATGGTTTAATTTCTATATTAATCTTAGTTGGGCATGTAAAGAAATAACATCTCTTAGCATAAAGAAACATGTATATGGATTTCAATAATTGCTTTAATTTTACTTCAGTTTATTTTTCTTTGTTTAAAATATACTACATAGCTAAAGTTAAATTTAACACATTTATTTTGATCATCTCATTATATTTCTACCTAGCAACCTATTTCTGCATCTATCTTCACACACAAAAATATCAAGAATGATTTTCCCCTAATATCAGTGAGGAGCTTCCCCTAAGATCAGTGAGGATTTTCGAACTTTTTTTTAACAGCATCTCTTGAACTGTTCTGTTTATAATTCAAATAAGTACTGTTTTAAGAAAAATAAATGATTTTTTTCTAAAACTCAGTTTTACATGATTAAAACAGTTGTATAATCCTATAAAATGTTCATAGGAATTTTACTGGGTAGGAAAAACTATGTTTATAAAATTTGCAGAATTAAAACCGTTTGAAATAGATCTACGGAACAAAACTGAGCCCTGACACAGTCTTGAGCATATATGGCAATTACATTGCTAAAAGGGCTTTTCAGATCAGTAAAGACAGTATGGCTTATCCAATGAAGTGTTTGGATCTATAAGTTAATCATTAAAAAAAGTAGATCTGTAAAACGAAAATAACTTCAGAGAGAACAAAGCTATAAACAAAGTTCCAAAAAAATGGAACCAAGAGTTCACAGATAAAGAAATACAAATGGCCAATAAACATGAAAAGATGCTCAGCCTCATACGTAAGCAAAGAAACTCAAATCTAAACTTCAAAATTCCATTTTCCACCTAAAAGATCAGTAAACATCTAAAGGTATGATAGCATGGACAAGGATGGGTTAGGGGTAGGTAGGCATTCTTAAACACTCTTTAATGGACTATAAATTAGAGGACAATTTGGCATCAGCTATAAAAATTTCCAAACCATATTTTTTTCAACAAGATAATCCCATTTTTAAAAATGTATCTTGTGGATATTTCACAAAAGAAAGCAAAGACATCTATGTGTACAATGATATTCATTATGGCATCATTTGTAATAACAGACCATGGAAAATAACCTACCTGTTCAACAATGGAAAATGGGTTGGATAAAATGTGAAAACAACACATTACACAAGAGCCGTTAAGAAGAATGAGTTAGAGCAAAATGTGCTCATAGGTAAAATTCTCCAGGATAGAGTATTTAGGAAGAAGCCAAGCTGCAGAACAGTTTCCACAAAGTATCGTATTTGTGTTTAAAAATTATCAATATAGCTACAGA